CTGTAAGTGTGAGAATGTGTGATTCAATTGTGAAATTTATAAGATATTGAACTCAACTAACAATGTTAGAAGATATGTGACTGCTCTAATGTACTCTTTTTGTGTTGATTTTGTTCTATACGATGAGTGGGTGGGTGCATCTAAGATTTAACCATAGCACGAGATGGGGTGTGAAGCCTAAGTTAGAGTATGTTAAAAAACAAGGATATAATATAAGGTTTGGACCCTAATTATACGTGTTACCATGAAATATCAAGAAAACAAAAGTATAATTTGGGTCCTAGAACATCGAATGTGTGTGTGTGTTAGAACTTAGAATTTAGAAATATTTGGACAATGATCTTTTCTTAGTTAAGAATGATGACACTATAAGGAACACGTTAAATCATATTAGGAGATTCTATTGGATTGATGTTGATGAATTATACGTTGAAATATAATGTTTGCTTTCTGAAGCCGATAATCATGATTCATGACAACCGTGGTGGGTTCAGTGTGAGAGACCAAAGTGTTAAAACTGTCAATGGGCTCGGTGATGAGTCTTCCAAATTCACATATGAGAGATCAACGTGCTGAAGTCAACATCAATGGTGTCCCAGACATCTATGTTAGTATGTTACAAATGAAGAATCAAATGGAGGATCAGAAGACCATGGGAGTAACAATTCTAATGACTCATCCGATAGTATAGCTGAGCTAGAATGAATAACACTGGAACGAATGGGTCAGGATATGTTATGAATAGAATGACATTTGAAGATGCTCAAGAAGCTTGGACTGCAATTGCTAATTATGGTGTTAAATTTGGTTACACGGTGAAAACACCCGAATGAGAACAACATGTTGAGGTAAAATGTTTGAATGTGAAAGGATATTCGTTTAGAGTATGAACTTTTCAAGTTTCCCATTTCTACCATTCCGAAAAAATGAAAACGGGTACCTTTTTTAAGTATCTGATGCACTATTAAATTTGTCAATGTACTTTTTCGCAACGTTGGAAAATTTCAATTAAGTAGAATTTTGCGAGATGGTAATGCATCGGTGCATATTGCATCCAAAATCATTTGGTACTGTTCCATTTTGAAACGAGACGGTTGATACACTTGTAATTTCCATATGTATGTGTATGTTTTGAGTTAGTTTTTGTTGTTTGATACTTTGAAAAGTACACACTTTTGGTGTAATAGTTATGTTTGTAAAATAGTTGTAATATGTTTAGATTAGGTCTATTCTGAGCTAAAACAGGTCCAGGATCAATCAAATGATCATTGGTGAAACCAAAAGAGGAGGGAAGGTGCAAGAATACAAGACAAAAAGGAAAGTTCCTGATTTTGACCTGTACCCGGTCGGGTATAACCTATAACCGACCGGGTACCCACTTGACTCTCAATCAGATCAATTCGGGAAACAAAGGTACGTGCAGGGGAAGATTTGGTCACGATCAGTTGTTATACCCGATCGGGTACACTGACACACCTGATCGGGTATGCAAATAAACTTAACTCTGAACTCGGTCGAGTATAGCTCGAATTCACCATTCTGGAAGTACCCGGTCGAGTACCCTATGTGTACTCGATCAAGTACACGAGCTGATGACCCAAAAGACTATAAATACACCTCCTTTCCTTCACAAAAAAATCACCAATTCCTATACACGTCTAAGCTCAGTCTAGATAAGTTCTTTCTTTATATTTTCATTATGTTTAGTCTCCAAATGAGGAGCTAAACTCTTCCATCTTGGTTTTGCTATTTTGAAGCTTAATGAATTGTAAGTTGTGAGTTATTTTCTTTAATCTTCTTTCTTGAATATTAATTAATTCCTACTCCTATTTCATGTTAATATTTTGAGAATTACTTAAAGGATCAACTAGTTTTATTTCATATATTAATTATTACTAGAATCGGTCGACGAATACGCTTGTTAATCGATCGGTCGTTTCACGATAGTAAACTTGGGTTGTTAATGCATGCGTCTCATGGTTAATAAATCAAGGGGAATTAATTATATTGGTTAAACCGATAAACCGCTTGTGTTGAGGTTATCAATCTCAATCGTTTTCATCTTGATTTTATTGCTACTATCGGGTTAATATACGGCGTGTGTTCTATATTAACTCGGTAGTAAGTGTTATTAATGAACGCGTCTCGTTATTAATAACTACCATCGATGAATTGGATATACTCCTCAATTGAGTATTCGAGAGGAAGATAGTTAAAGATATAACCGGGATTGACGAACATTTCATTAAGTGGATAAAAGGAAAGCCAAGTCTTCATCTCTATTTAGTAAACCACATAAGTCGTTCATCTTAGTGTTTAAATATAATTAAAGTTCACCAATCTTAAACCCCCCTTTTTGTCAGAGAGGCACCACTAGAGATCGAACTGGCTACAAATAAGGACATTATTTCCTATGACTTGGAGATGGAACTCATGCCCTCCTCTAGTTGGTGGAATGGATATATTGGTAAGTCTGACCTCTCCATTTCAGAAGCCCTCTTTGAAGTTGATATTGAGAAATTGCATTGCATTGATAATTCTTTGGAGTGGGCACTCTACTGACGACTTCCACAATTTTGAGCAAACTGGATTTGACTCTCTTAAGGAATTCATTCAAACTACAATGACTTTGGGGGTGGACTCACTTTCTCAATTTTTACTTAGTGAGTTCGACAAAATTCTCGTATCAGCTTTAACTAATTGTGACTCTTTGAACAACAAACCTATTGATGCGGAGAAAGCTACTGATTGTGCAAACACAGGAGTCGGGCTTCCTAGGGATGTTTCTATAGGTAATCAATACTCTGAGGATTTTGATAATGAAGGTGTCTATGAAGAGCAATTATTTTTATACTCTGGGGATGACTTCTATGGTCATGCTTCTGAAAGTGGGAAGAGGGCACCTAATTCATCGATGGAAGATCTATGGGATTCCGATACAAATCAAGATATTTGTAACAAAGCCCAATTTGTTACCCGAGAAAATTGTCTTCCTACAGAGAACCTAAATGCTCAAATTAAGATTTATAGAAAAAAGAAACAAAAATCGCATCTTATGAGGACTAAATCCCAAACACGGGTGGAACTTGCAAGTATCGACTGAGTTGTTTCTTAGGACATTTTTGGGAGGGGCATTTTGCAATTACTTGGGGTTGGGTTGTTTTTTGTATTTTTGTTTTTCCCTTTTTCCCATTCCTTCTTAGATCATCTTTCACTCTTGTATTTTCCCTTTCTTCGTCATTAATAAAGTTTTGCTTTTCAAAAAAAAAACCTTTTTGTTACTTATTACCATTTCTATAAAAGAGAAGTATTCCTTTCCCTGTGGATACGAACCTTACTACGCTACACTACATATAAATGTTGTATTATATTATTATTTTGAATGCATACCACGACAAAGTGCACGTCAACCTTACCATACCATGTCAACATCATTGCAAAGAACTGCAAACATCTAGATACCATTGAAGCTGAATTTTGAATTAAGCCAACTTTCAAATTATTATTAATCATTAATTTGGGTCCTTAACTCCATCAATACAAAGTCTATTGCATCGCTGAAAACATGAAAGTGATAATGGTGCTCAACTGTTGTTTGACTGGAGGACCTACATGGAGTCACGAACGGATGTTGACGCTTGGGTCTTGGAGTGGTCGGCGACTCGACAATGATTGAATGACTTTGTCAAATTTGGCTGATGCAGATAGTTGCCTTGCGGAAATCGCGATATCAACGACGAAGGGTAAAATGGCGAAGACTTGGCCGCTTCATCACATGGCTATTAGCCTATTTTTATTGAATTGAATTTGGGCTAGTGGGCTACCTAATTAATACTATTACAAATGTTTTTGTGCCTTTTATTTCTTGAGACCCTGTGCCATTGCACTAGTTGCCTTTCCACTGGGTCGGTCCTGCCGTGATGCGTATAACATTTAGGTTACGGAGTATATTTTTTTGAATTTTAAATGGTAAGATTTTGTTTTATGGGCTAGGCTGAAAAATTAGACTAGGCTATAGAAAAATTTGGAGTGGACTTGATGGAAATTTTTAAAAATAATACCTTAAACAAATTTTCTTTTTTGACTTTACACTGGGCTTCAGCCCACCATAGCCCTAACATAGATCCTCCCCTATTTCTAACTTTTTTGCCCACCCCTGACCAGCTTAGGGCCTGTTTGTATGAAATGTTTGAAAGTGTTAGTAATAAGGGTTTTTTAATTTAAATTGACAAAAATTATATTTTTCGAGTAAATGAGAATGATAATGATTGTCCAACACTTCAAAACACTCCAAATCGATGTGTTAAAAAAGTGGACAATTGAAGTGTTGAAAAGATTAGAGAAAAGGGGCAAATAAGGCCACGTACTAACAAAAAAGGTCAAATAAGGTCTTATTTATGAGGCTCTGTCCGGCCTTCGCCATTTGGGGTGGTTCTCAGTGGAATTTTTTGATGAAATTGTTTGACCATCTTATTCATTAAGTCTATTTTACTCATACCAAATTTCAGCTAACAATTCAATCAGGAAGGCATTCAAATGAATTCTTGAAGATAACTGCGCTTTTAATTGCACAGTTATTTTCAAGAATTCATTTGAATGCCTTCCCGATTGAAGTTTTAGCTGAAATTTGGTATGAATAAACTAGACTTACTGAATAAGATGCTCAAAAAATTTCATCAAAAAATTTCACCGGGAACCACCCCAAATGGCGACGACCGGAAAAAACCTCTTAAATAAGGCCTTTTTTGTTAGTACGTGACCTTATTTGCACCTTTTCTCAAAAGATTATTATTAACACTTCCTAACCTTTACTTACACTTCTTAACACCTCTTAATTTTCCTAAATAAGTGTTAGTATCAACACATTCTAACACTTCCATTACAAATGGTCTACAACACTCGATCCAAACATGCCCTTATTTAACTTAAAACTTACGAGGATATGGTTAATGGTTTCAATATTTCATTGTTGTTACTACTCGTTAAAAGCGTGTGGTTTTGTTTCGTATGGTCTTTCTTTGACTTCAAAATGGGGTTTTGCGTATCATCCAATTCTCTGTTCACACCTGACATTTTCTTTCTAAGGCATCCATTGCCTCCCCCTGCAGTATAGCACATTCTTTCACAATTCTCTCCATTAAAATAAAATTTCTCGTTGTTGTGGGTTTGAAAACGATGAAAAAGATTCCTTTCTGGTTCAGGGAAAATTCCATATAAAAAAAAACTTTTTCTTTTGTTGGTTTGCCCGTTTTGTGTTGGAAAGGTAAAAAAGGGCAACGTGGAATACTTTTGTGTTTGTTTATTTGTTGCGGAAGGTGTTGGTTTTTGAGCTTTTAGGTTTTTTCATCTGATCAAATTTCTCATTGGGTTCGTGAGCTGCTGTATAATCCTCTCTATGAAGTGAGTATATTTTGAACGCTATAGAGCATTTCAGCTTCAAGCTTTTATTTTGTCAGCTTCAAGCTTTTATTTTGTCAGCATTGTTCTTTGGTAATTGCTATATACTCAATTGATTCGCATAGAATAGATGCATTTAAGATTTTCAGCCTTCTTCAGCCTTTGACTCTTTCTAATCTATTGTTTGGTAAATGCTGTACTCTTACTGCTTTGAAATAAGTCTTGCTTTCAATCTGCTGTTTAGGCTTGTGATTTGTCCGTTAACTTTTGATTTCATGATTTATGATTCTGAGTTCTGCAAACAGTGCCTTATATTCCATAATTTTCAGGTTGAATTATCTGTGTTCATGAGACAGTAGTTTATTTCAAAATGGGTTGGCTGAGCAAATTTTTTAAAGGATCTAATCACAAGGTTTCAGAAGGACAACATGTTTTGAGCTATGGTGGACACAAGGAGGAAAATCATCCATCTACTTCATGGGTATGTACTGTTTGCAAGTTTAGTGTTTTATTTTAACCTGTTTTGTTTTCAAAATCAATCTAAGCAGATTTAGCATATCAGGTTAATTCTTAAAATTTGGGGGTCTTCTAGGAAACTTACTATCTGCTTCTCGGGTAGAGGTAAGGTCTGCATATATGTCACCCTCCTGAGACCCTGTTTGGGAATGGGACATACTTTTATGTTTGGTTTGGTTTAGGTTTTTTTAATGAAACTTATAATTAATTTTTTGGTCTTGGATGGAGTGCTGAAGGTTCCAGAAACTATCCAAATGTATTTAATGGAGATAAACAAATTCACTGTTTGTGAAAGCTCAAAATATCAGATGTTGCTGAATCAAGAGACATTGATGAAGTTGTGACATATAATAACTGAATTATCAAAAATTAATTTAAAAATTTAGGATTGAAAAATAAAATGAAATAAAATAAAAATAAGAGGCCTTCAAAATACAGACTTTAGGGATATTTAAGCTCAAGTCAGAGAAGAATGTTGTTAATATTCACTAATTAACTAAATCGTCAAAGAATATTTTTATTATTTGGCATTTCAGCAAAAAACTTATCGAAGAACTACATTAGTCATTCAAATAGTGAATGTCACTTAAAAATACATAGTGTACTATATCATCATTAATGCTTAGTGTAGACCTAAGGACTATGGTTAGCATTTGCCATAAAAATAATATGTAAAAATTAACATGAGACAATACTGATGTCTATTGAACATGAACTTATTGAGAGTTCTAATGTTAAATAGGTTTCATAAATTAAATGAAGGTTGCATCAGCCTATAGTCTAGCATCTACCTCTTTGTGACACTAAAAATGTGAATTGATGATTAATCAGTGTTAAAAGAATGCTAATTGATGATTTATCAGTGTCTTTTCTTATTGCTGGTATAACACTGTAGGACCCATTGTCGGAGATTGAAGATATAGACCATGCTATCGCATTGTCGCTTTCAGTAGATGACCAAAATGGTAAAAGTGTACCGGGTTAGTGCAATGCTCATTGTCTCATACTCATCATAGTGCCTGCTGTTCTTCTATTGAAATCTTATTAGAACTATAAAAAGACTTTGGGAAAGTTTCTTCACTATCTCATGCAGTTTATAAATTTCTTAGTTTTCCTTGTAGTTCTTTTTCCGATACAAGGTTTATTTTAGTGTTCAATATAGTTGATTCAATGAGAACTCATATGTTGGGCAGATAAAGAAAAACAGTTAAATGAAGATGAACAGCTTGCCAGAGCTCTTCAGGAGAGCTTGAATCTCGAGTCCTCATCACTATGGAAAGGAAATATAGATAATCATGGACGTGGGGGTCGTTATGGAAATGGAAACTATTATCAACCTATCCCTTTCTCCAATGCAGGAAGTTTCAGGTTTCTATTCCAAGTGATCTTATATGTCATAATCCTTTTTCACTTCCTGCACTAAGTGATAGAAGTATAGAACCAAACAATTCCTCAAGTTGGTTTTTATTTATCCTTGCACAAATGTTTTAATATGCCCTTTCTCTTGTTTTCAATGTACTGCTTTGCAAAGTGCCAGTCACAAAATTTATTACCTTTCTTTCTCAGTCCCAATGTTAAGACCCTATATTTGTCTTGTCCACGAGACTTTCAATGTAACAGTGTCACACTATCTAAGTTGACTGCATGGGATGTGAGTTAAATTGGTGAATAATGGGAAAATGTAGCGACGAAGCTCTTTTTTTTGGCTGAAAGTGGTTAAATGAATGAAATGACAACTTCACCTTAAGTCTAATTTATTATTTTCTCTATTTATGAAGAAACTATTTTTCTGATATTTATTTTGAATTTGCGATAATTCGTAAAGTTTAACTACATTCATTTTGACCACAATTTTAGGCTTTCAGTAACTTCAGCCAAATATAACCTTACCAAACAGGCCCTTATTGTCTTGATATACGTATTACGGTGAAAAGTTTTTCATTGTGGTAGGATATGTGGTGGGTGCAACAATGAGATTGGCCATGGGCGATTCTTGAATTGTATGAGTGCTTTATGGCATCCAGAGTGTTTCAGGTGCCATGCATGCAACCGAGCAATATCTGATTATGAGGTATGGAATCATGTAATCTCTTTTCCTGTGCCAAAATCAGTTCTATTAGCAGCGGGCCATTGGCAGATTTGGAACATTTTTCTGCCTAACAAATATTGTGTGTGTGTGTGTACACACGCACAGACACATAATCTCTTAAAGTACTAATCACGCACACACTTAATCTCTTAAAGTACTAATCTTTCATTCTATATACACATAAAATATTTTTAAATTTCAAATGTATGTACAAGGTTCACTAGCGCCCTTCTTTTTAACTTTCTGCATTCCATTTTTTTCCCCAGTTCTCTATGTCCGGGAACCGTCCATATCACAAGACTTGTTATAAGGAGTATTTTCATCCAAAGTGTGATGTATGCAAACACTTTGTAAGTATCAACACTACATATATAATATATTATTTCATTGTTAATAGGTTATGTATGATAGTTTTATATTTTTGCATATAAATGGCTTCTCCTTTCACCTGCAGATCCCAACAAATGCAGCAGGTCTTATTGAATACCGTGCACACCCTTTTTGGTCCCAGAAGTACTGCCCATTTCATGAGCGCGATGGAACACCACGCTGTTGTAGCTGTGAGCGGATGGAGGTAAATCCAACAAAAGAAAACTGTAATATTTAGGGGTCCATTTGGAATGTGGAAAATGCCAGGGAAAGAAAATGGGAAAAATGGGAGGAAAACTAGAGAGCAAACATTACTGAAAGAAAAGTGGGGGAAGAAATTGCTCTCAATAATTCTGTTTTAGATCTTTGCTCGAACTTATTTGATTTAAATATTTCTATTATATAAAGCCTATATAATCTACGTTTTTTAAGAAAAGGTAGTCATATTTGGGTTTTCTTGGTATTTTTATGGTATACCCTAACAGGCAAACATAAAAATAAACATTTCCTTAGTTTCCCTACCATTTACTGAGTTTCATATATAGCATGATAGCCTTGAGGCATCATCTCTTCACAGGCGCACCTCATCAATCATTATGTTCTCATAAATTTGGAACAAAATGTGTTTTATATTGTATGCAGCCACATGAAACAAATTATGTTGCCTTAGGTGATGGTAGGAAACTCTGTTTGGAGTGTTTGGAATCTTCCATTATGGACACCAATCAGTGTAACCCCCTTTACCTTGATATACAAGAATTCTATGAAGGGCTAAATATGAAAGTGCATCAGAAAGTCCCATTGCTATTGGTTGAGAGACAAGCCTTAAATGAAGCTATGGATGGAGGGAAACATGTAATACTATTTTCAAATCTCAAACCAATAAATTTGTTTTTTTTTTTTAAAAATTCTTTTTGCACAACAGAAGAGCTAACTTTTTGAGTTCTTTTCAGGGGCATCATCACATGCCTGAGACAAGAGGACTCTGCCTTTCCGAAGAAAGAACAATCAGCACTGTAATAACATCTTCGCCATTTTACTTGAGCTATCTTTGGAGTTTTCGGGCCCATTTGGAACTGGAAAGTGCTATGAAAAAAATTGGAGGAGGATTAGAAGGAAAGGAAAGTTGAGGGAAGATAAACGATAGATTCAAACTAATAAATCCATTTTGGCTATTTTTCAAACCCATTTTCTTTATTTATTTCTATTATATAAAATTTTCCATCATTTGCAATGGAGGCAAAGACTCACTATTTTTGTCTTGAGAATATGATAAATCACTATGGGTCATTCCATGTACATATAAATTTCGACGCGATTTTCACTATGAGTCATTCGAAAACAGTCTCTCTGTGTTTTAGTACTAGGGTAAGGCTGTGTACATCCGACTCCCCCTACCCCACCGTTGGTGGGAACCTTTACGGCATTGGGTTAATGACGATGATGATTTCTATTATATACAAACTAAGAAATATGAACATATTGAAACAAAATATAAAAAAATAACCTTCCTTAGCTTTTTCCATAAGATTACTGTATTTTACCAAATAAATAGTATGGAAACCCATTTTATACATTTATTGCTATTGGTGTATTCCATTTTCTTCTGTATTTTCAAGGTAAAACAATATATACAAAAAATAACCTTCCTTAGCTTTTTCCCTTTTCCCTACTATTTTATTTTTCCAGGATCCAAAGATGCCTAAACTACTGTCATCATGTTTAACAGTAAAATAACATGCCGTTTACGCTGCATTTTCTAGATACTGCGTGGGCCAAAGATAGGGGCTGGAACTCGTACCATAGAGATGAGAAGAGAACCATTTAAATTAACACGGCACTGTGAAGTGACGGCAATACTAATCTTGTATGGTCTTCCTAGGTATTTTCATTTCTATGCTTCTACACCTCCAACATATACTATCACTCAAATTTAAACATTTTCTCTTGGATAATGTTTCATTTTGACGATAAACTTGAATGCTCTTTCAGGTTATTGACAGGATCCATCTTAGCGCATGAGATGATGCACGCGTGGCTTAGACTTAAAGGTATCCGTTTTCATCCTACAATCAGTTTCATTGCCTTCGATTTCATATCATTAAGATTCTTTTTGGTGTGAGAGGTCACAGGTTCAAGTCTAGGGAGCGGCACTTGTCAAAAATGACAAAGCCTTGCTCCTTAAACACCTTGTGACGAGACACTTCCCCGGACCCTCGCCTTGCATGGACGCCAACATGCACCGTGCTGCCCTTTATAGAGACTAACTCCTCCAAACCTTCCCTCCATGATTTTCCATCTGAACAGACCCTAAGGGTGTGCTTGGGCGGAGGGTTGTGAACGGCTAAGTCTATATCATAATGCATATTAAGATTTTTAAAATTGAAGAAATAACATAATAAGTATTACTCCCTCCATATTTTAAAGTTTGCTACACTTTCCTTTATGGGATGTATTTAAAAGTTTGCTACACTTTCCCTTTTTGGTAAGTTTTTCCTTTAAAAATACTCAACTACCCTTACTTTTTCTACTTTTTATCTTCTCTTTCATACTTTTATACACTCTCTTCTACTTTTTCTACACTATTCATTACACCTACTATTTCTTTCTTAAATAATGTGCCCAATGCTATTAAAGTGAACTTATAAATACGGAGGGAGTATCATATAACTTTTCATTGACTCTCTCTTTGTTTTGAATAACATTTATTTTTCGAGAAGATATAGTCTAAACCCTCCAAAGCCGTCACCCCGAAAACCTCTAATCCCTCATCCAAACAGACCCTGAAGCACTAACAATAACACATTCCTGCCTTACTCTTTAGCTTAGCTTTTCACTGTGCTCATATTAAGCTGCCTTTCCATTTTCTTGAAAGGTTATCAAACTCTTAGCCAAGATGTGGAAGAAGGCATATGTCAGGTTTTGGCTCACATGTGGCTGGAATCACAAATTTTGTCACTTTCAAAAGTCAATGGTGCATCATCATCTTCAGCACGCTCATCGCTGACTGGACCACAATTTGAGTTGAAACTTGGCGAGTTCTTTAAACACCAGATAGAGTCAGACACATCTCTGGTATATGGAAATGGTTATAGAAGCGGTAACCAGGCAGTACTTAAGTATGGTTTGGAGAGGACATTGGAACATATTCGAATGACAGGCACCTTTCCTTGTTAACATTATAATTTATATATCAATTTGTTTTTTACTTTAATTCTTCATAAATCATTGTTACTTTCCTTTTGCCTGTGACTGGTTCATATTGGCTTCCTGGACTCACTAGTTCATATTGGCTTGCCTTCCTGGACTCACTGATCCACCATGCAGCTACTCTAGGATTTAGAAATTCTTAACCTTTGTGCTGTTCCAAAAGGAAAGATTGATTTGTCACAAACGATCTGATAATAGGAAATACAAAAAAACAAATTGGGTTTTTAACATATAGATAATTCATGGTGTTTTGTTGTTCAACAAATCTCCAGTCCTGATTTCTTTAGCACAACTGCAGCAGCCCAAATGCGGGGAGATGGAGGTTTACAAGGTTGAAGTGTTGAACTAAATGATTGGGTTGAGCATCTCGTTAAAGGGTGAATTGATCTATGCACAACCTTTAATTTGTTAAAAAAGTTGCAACTTAATTGATGAAATATCATAGCTTGCTATTAAAATGATACGAAGTATGTCATATGAGATCGTATTATAGTGACCATAAATACTCGTAGATAATAAATTCAGTTAAATATGTGAGTATGTGACCATAAATACTCGTCTATTTGCCTGAGTAATTTTTTGACAATGACCGTTGGAGCTACCCAGATGAACACATAGTTTGATCTTCCTCTAGGTGCAAAATAAATGAAGGATTGTCTCAGTTTGTTTTTAGTAATTGAAGCCTAAAAGTGGTTTATCTGATCATCAATTTATATGTGGGTCATTCTTGGTGTACACAAAATGTACACAAAATGTGTAAGTTACCTGTGTACATAGGCAATTAGAGAGGTTTTGGCATCAAATCCTGCCCCTTTATAAATGAATTGCTTACGTATACAGACAATTAGGGGAGTTTTGTTTACACTTTGTGTACAACTCATGTACTCTAAGAGTTTTTCTTTATATATATCAATAAGTCTCTCACTTTATAAAGTGTGAAATAATAAGCTCAATGAAAACTTTACTTGAGCCAATGTATGATTTTCTATGCTCAATATTCTCAAAACCAGTCTTCGCCGAAGGGTAATAGGGTATTACTTGAGTTCGCCAACTCATAGATACGAAGTACTCCCTCCGTTCCCAAAAACACTTCTCAATTTCCTTTTTGGGTCGTTCCCAAAAATTCTTCCCACTTTCCCTTTTTGGATAATTTGTGTGGCTCACATTCATTTTACCTTTTTCTCACACAACCACAACCACACATTTCCACTTTATTTCACTTTCTTAATAAGCGTGTCAAGTCAAACCGGGAAGAATTTTAAGGAACGGAGGTAGTATATAGTAGTAGAATTGCGGTTGTAATGAAGCATTAATAGACATATTGAGTCTGTTCGGCAACACGAAAATCGGTTGATTCTATTGATTTAAGAAAAAACTATTTTTAAAATATATCTTATTAATAAAATAAAGAAAAAATTATATGTAAAATAGCTAAAATTGTCATCTAAGTAACTTCAGCCAATACAGCTAGAAAAGTAACCCCAACCTTACTTTTTCTTATTATTACACAACTAAACGCGCGAAAACAAAAATTATGTGTTTAGTGAAAAGTTGACAGATAATCCTGACAAGCCAAAAAACAGTGTTACCAAACGGTCTCAATTATGCCTAAGTTTTGATCTTGATATCTATTTTTTCAAAAAAAATCTTTAATCCTATAAACCTTTGAATCTTTATTGGCACAGTTTTATATCATTAGAAAGAATTTAATCACTTAAAATTATCACGTGGAAAATCCAGGTGAAAACTCTAATTATTGATAATAGTGTTATTTTTTGCTGGATTATGTAGACTTTTACAGTAACTATTCAATGTTAAATGCTAATTTAACGTCTTTAACTAGGATGAGTTTAGAACTTGTGACCACCTAATTTTTCAAAAAAAATCTTTAATCCTATAAACCTTTGAATCTTTATTGGCACAGTTTTATATCATTAGAAAGAATTTAATCACTTAAAATTATCACGTGGAAAATCCAGGTGAAAACTCTAATTATTGATAATAGTGTTATTTTTTGCTGGATTATGTAGACTTTTACAGTAACTATTCAATGTTAAATGCTAATTTAACGTCTTTAACTAGGATGAGTTTAGAACTTGTGACCACCTACTCATTAGGAGTGCCATAGTGATGTCATCGAACCACATAATGCTTGAATAATGATGTTATTGATCACAGTTTATTCTTAATCATTAATTAACGGGTTTAAACTTTAAAGTACAATGATATATTGTCTTTCGAAATGTACAATGATACATTTTAGTTTTGTTATTTTCATATATAGTTTTACTGGCAATTTATTACTTTCTACTTGTGTGCGTAATACGTAGTATATATTTAGAGAATATTACCCGAAATAGGACTAAAAAGGTTTGAAAATTCCAAAATACGACTGCCATGTTTTTATTCCCAAAATAGGACTAATTACTTACATGTTTTGACAGTAACAGACTTCAAACATGACAGTATTTTCCAAAGTTGATGGTAATTACTCCTATTTTGGGAATAAAAAACATGACAGTCCTATTTTGGAATTTTCAAACATTTTTAGTCCTATTTCGAGAACTTTCCCATATATTTAATGTTTTATGATAATATATTTATGGCTGGCATATCTTTAAAATAAAGAAAATAATTGTTATTTTAATGCGTAATCTTAAAAAAAGGTATCCCCAGAACGGTTTAACAAAACAAAGTCAAAATAGTACGTAAATAAAATCTATAGTTTTATATAGTAAAGTTGAGTTAAAAACTAATGATGTGTCAACCTCCTATTGGGTAATGTAAATTCTGTCATCACAACAACTAAGAGCATCTCCAATGCTAAAATATGCACGGTGCACATGTGGCATGAATGATAGCCACATAAATATTAGCAAATAAATTATCTCTCTCCTTATTTGAATGATTTTATACAATTTTGGTAAGTTTTTCTCAGCAATGTCAACTGCAATGTCACCATTTAGATGGTCTCCTTGACATTGTGGAGAAAAACTTACTAAATCTGTATAAAATCATTAAAATAAGGAGAGAAAAAATTTATTTACTAATATTTATGTGGCTATCTCTCATGCCACGTATGCACCGTGCACATTATACCATTGGAGATGCTCTAAAATAACTCACACAGCTGTCTGAAAATAAACTCCTACACCTCAGCTGATTTGGACAGAGGTTGTATATAACTTTAATATTGATAATCCAATTTTCACAAAAAATATATCAAAATTCATAATTTTTAATAATCTTTCATATGACACCAGTATCATATACAACCTCTGTCCCGTTGGACTTTGCCAAATGCAAAGTAGGTGAGAAATAAGAATAGTGAAAACTTTGTGCTTGAGATTTGTACAGAGGAGAGAAAAATGTGCAGAACTATAAATTAGTTGCTTTAATAAGTAAGTGACAAAGTTTTTTAGAACAACAAAAAATGAAAAGTTGACAAAGTCCAATGAGACAGAGAAAGTATATAAAAATAAAAAAAGATCTATTACTCTCTATGTCCCCTAGAGGGGCTCTCACATGCTTTATGATATTTATTCACCATAAAGCTAATTGATCTGTGTCTGTAATTAGATTGCTTTTATTAAATAAAATTTACATATTTGGATACAAATCAAAAGTTTTATAAAGTCTCAAAAGAAAAGCTCATATTTGATAAGAGTTGGATATATAAAGTAATAGATTAAGAAGACTTTAATTTGGTTGACTGGATAATACATGACGGGAAGTTTTGAATGGGATGAAGGTACTCCCTCTATCCCAAATTATAAGATACTTTTCGATTTACGATGTTTGATCGACGATGAAGCAAACGGATCCCTGACTGCACTCAAATTATTTTTAGAAAAGAATACATATTCAGAAACTACATTAAAATCGCTACAAAACCTGCAAAAAATAATTCAAATTTCATAAAATTTTGATATAATGTATAGAGTAAGAGATTAAGAGTGATTTGTGTTGACCAAGTGAATATTAAATATATCTTATAAAATGGGGCAGAGGGAGTAGTATTTTATATACCAAAACTGAGTCAAAAATTCAATTGATCTATAAAAATTCTATTATCAGTGCATTTGTGCTATTCACCAGATGTATTTGTGCTATTCATATTAATCACGTCAACTCATTTGGAGAAAGTGAAGGTGAAAAATCTCTTAAATTTTAATTATAATAATAGTACTTCATAGTATAATGGTATTGATAATTCTTATTAAGATGAAAATCGTAAACATAAATATAAGGATATCTATAACAAAAATAAAATGATATTATAATTATAGTTATAGTTATCACTGTAATTATAATTATATTTATAATTATAGTCATAATATAATGATAGTTATAATTATATTTATAATTATAACTATAATGATAGTTATAATTATATTTATAATTATATCTATAATTATTGTTATAATGATAGTTATAATACTATATATAAAGATAATAATGACAATGATAATCGTAATAATAACTTAATAATGCTAATGAACACTTAATCACATGATTTTTTAAAAGACTGGAATGATTCAAATAAGATCAAAATGTGAAGAACTCAAATTAAATTTGGAAGGTTCAGATTAGATCGGAAAGATTCGTAAAGCGGGATCATACAAGATCAGAGAAGTTCGGGAAAAATTCAGATCATATGTGACCAGATCTTAAAAATTTCAGATTGTAAATATACATATCAGACGAATGGAACAACTTCTTAATATGAACCATATTAATAGAGTTTAATTCTCGAATAAACACCATATCAATTTTATTTCCAAAATAATTGTACAATATCAAATTCTTTGAACAATGGAACTCTAATACACGTAATAATAACACGTAATAGGACTCTTATCGTACAAAATTAATCGTACACATTTGAGTAGGCTCTAATTCAAGACCAATTTTTTAAATAATGAAACTTTAGTTCATGTGAACGGGAGTCTAATAGTACAAGTGTACAACATCAATAATACTCGTGAATATCTAAAATAATGTAAAATTATAAATCCCACATATTCCTCATTCAAATTGATGGAGAAAAGGTTAACCATTAAAATAATAAGTACATAAATCACAATATAACCACAAATTCATTCTCTAAATGATGGTGAATTCCCACCCGTATGGCCCGTATTCATGGTACATGGTGATTAGTTCATAATAGAAACCGA